TGACCAACGTTTTGTATATGTCTATATTTCTGAGATGAGGCTTTATGTACAATATTTGCATTATTTGGACTATTGTCCTTAACTTTTTTGCCATATTGTACGCTCCGGGATTTTCCAGGTGGTTAGAATGTCGAACTGAACCCTATATTTCGCTCTTTAGGGTAGACTGTTCTAGTTCCACGTGCCATGTCTAATGGATGTTAATTATCAGTTATCTCTTGTTAATGCACCTCTCCAAGTTCTCCGCTGCCTTAACCAGGTATTGAACTCACACTTTTTGGGTGCTGTCACTGGATCTAACAAACGCCTTTATCCATGAGCGAAATAAAGGATTCAGTTAGACATTTCAACCACCTGAAGAAGGCCAGAGCGTACAACCGCCGAATCGTTGTGATAAATATGACAACAAAGATGAGGACAATAGTCCGAAAAATGTAAAAATAAAGCAAAAATATATGAGGTGACTATTGAGTCTATAAGTACAACAACACATGGAATACAAAGAAGTTACAATAAGAAATAAGAAACAGCGGCAAATGTTAATTGGCTGAGATGAAAATTGCTTTTGATTCAGCTAGGATAGGAAAATTTTGTTATTCTTAATTTTTTAGCAATCTTGAATGGAACAAAGATCACAAATGAAATATCTGCTTTTTCTCTTTGTCTTTATACGCATATACCTAAAAGGAAGACATGACAAAGCGTAAGTCGCAAAGAATATTTTGAGTGCATATGTTTAGCTGCATTTGCGCAAGTGTCAAATGAGCTCGTAAAATATTTTTTTCTTCCCCAAACAGGAGAACTGTCCTTCTCGTAAAAAAATATATATACAAGAACTATAGGCACAGCTCAAAAAAAAAAAAAAAAAAAACATAAACAAAATTACATTACACTATACTCAAAAGCAAGCAACTGTTGCAAATGGCTGACACTGGTATTTGCTGAAAAAATACCGGATATGACGTGACCAGGCTGACAAATATGGCCGCTGGACAGGTTTTCACAGCCGTTTTTAACATCAAAAATAGCAACAGAAAAAAAAAAAAACGTTTACATAAAAACTATAATATGAAAAAGGAAATTGGAATTCGCTGAAACAAATAAAGAAACGAAAAAGACGAAAATTAAAAAAAAAAAGAACGAAAGAGAAAAAAATATGAGTTTGGGGGAAACTATGAATAATTCAACCAATGTCGTCAAATAATGTCTGCGTATGACAAGAATATTCTGTAAACAATAAATAAATTTCTTCTGACAAAATAAGAATAGATGAATTGCCTCATTATAGCAAAAAAAATGAAATATTAATGAATTTATAAACTTGGGGTTTCATCTCACAGGATTAAATATTAAAAAAATAACACATTTTTTCCGATGTCTATCTTTTAAAAACTATTTTTGATCACCAAAAATTAAAAAAAAAATGTCTGTTTCTAACGCTTGGTATGAAAATATTTTTAAAGCTCATTGGCAGAAATAATCCACAAAAGATGGTATTTGAACGATACAAAGAATAAAGCAAATAAATAAATAAAATTAAAAACATAATTCAGAGTGATTAAAAAACTAGGGATTCTACTCAAACATGTGCTACAAAAAACGTTTATCGTAATGAGAAATAATATCAGATAAAAAAATAATTCCATTATTTCTTTAGAAATGCACACATACATATATATACATGTATATTTTCTTTTGAACAATAAAGAAAAAACCTTAAAAAGTAAAATTTTTAGACACAGTGGGTTGTACATTAATTCTTTCTTATTTTATTATTTTAATAATAATAAAATAAAAAATAATTAAATAATTAATTTAAGTTTCGCCTAGCATGGCCATCATCAGGAGGAAAAATGCTGCTTGTTAGTAGCTGTGAACTACAGGAGTGAATATACTGTTTCTGAAGAAAAATGAACTTTATATTTTTCTTTTCGTTAATTTTGGTCAGTGTTTGTGTTGGTCAGTGGGTCTCTTTAAAGTTGTTTTTAAGATAGAGGATGGAAGATTTCTGAATTTAAGAACTACCTCCCTTGTAATGATATAAAATGGCGAAAAACATCTTCGCAAACAATTTTAAAGTTGCATTAACATTCGCATCACTCGATGAATGTTATGACCCTTGTTTTTAATAACTTCAAGTTGTATAAGGTCTATTTTTAAATTGCTAGTACTTTCGGCCTGTACATTCACCCATCCTCAGTCATGGAAATTATTTTGTTTTTAGTAGATCCAGGTAATAGCGGACACGAAGAATTAAATGCAAATCAAATAAGAACTTATGGAGCGTGCAGTCGCAACGCTAAAGGCTGAATTTTTGAAATATTTATATATATATATATATATATATATATATATATATATATATAGAGAGAGAGAGAGAGAGAGAGTGCAAGGCACCTCGCAGCGGTGTAATGATTAGCAAGTTTGTCCCGCTAGAACAATTAGGACTGAGTAGTAAGTTCGATCCTCACTGGGTGCCCAATAATTTCGGCCTCGTGTAACATCTAAGATACGTTTGGAAAATTACTATATATATGTGTGTGTGTGCGCGCGTATATGTGTGTTTGTGTGTGTGTGTATATTAATCATTTCACCACAAGTAAGGCAGAAAAGCCACTGAGATGCAGAGGGTTACTGAGTGTGAAAGATTGTAAGAAAAATAAAATATTATTAAGGAACAATAAAATAAAATAATGTAAGAGGACAGGAGAAAACGATTGACATTACATTAACATTTTTAAAGATCAAATTTGGCTGAAAACCAAAAAGCCACATAAGAGTTCCACAAACGATAAGCTCTTAGTATAGAACTTGCGGTTACATCTCGCCATTACATCTGCCAAATGGGGTAATCTTGCCGTCAATCAAGTACTACGCTTAAATTCAGAGTCTATCAGAACAATTACCATGAAAGTATTCATAGAAAATCCACATTAGTAGTTGTTTTTTTTTATTTTTTTTAATCATTTCACTAATAAAGCCACTAAGATACAAGAGTTTAGTTAGTTTGATGTAATAAGAAAAATATTATGAACGAGCGAGAACAATAAAAAGGGAAAAGTTGATAAGGAATGGCATTTCATTTAATTTTTTTAAGATCAAAATTGTCTGAAAAGCAAAAACGGAAATATAATTCCACAAGCGAGAAGTGTGAGAAAAAACTGTTAGTAGAGAACTTACAGTTACATCTATCCAACTCAACTGTACAATGATAAATATTCCTAAGCGGTTACCCATCTAGATACTGATCAAGATCGGCGTTGCTTAACTTCGATGATTGTATGGGAACCAGTGAAAAACATTATTAAGTGGGGGGCACGAAAAACGTAGAGGAAGTAAGAAAACGGAAGATAACGATTGACATTGCATTTAAATATTTGAAGATCAAATTTGATAAGGAAACAAGAAAGCGGAAGAGAGTTTCAGAACCAAGAAGTGCGAGAGAAGAAACTGTTAGCATAGAACTTACGGTTAAATCTAGCCATTTTAACTGTAAAATGATGAGACCTTGCCGCCAATCTAGTACTGCGCTTAAATTCATGAAGTGTACGTATCACAGAGGCCAGTTCATCTGGTTTAACAGCTGGAAACATGAATCTTTATTCCTGGTTATTTTTCTCGAGATATGGCCTCTTCCGACAGGTGATCACTGCTTTACATACCATGTATACTCCTTTGAGCATGCATATTAAAGAACTCCCCAAAATTATCTACGTCCAACAAGCACAATAATAGACAAACCCTAATATACCCACGCAACGGCAGCAGGACCAGAAAAAGGTAACTTCTCTGTCGCTAATTCCAGAGAAAATCTTCAGGCGATCTCCATTTTTTGGTGACACCTAATAATAGCTGAGTAACTACATTCACAGGGTTGAATCAATACATTTTCCCTACATATTTCCACGTACTCCTTTAGTAGCAAAATTGATCCCACTCTAAAAGCGGCTTTGCATGAACATCTTCATTGTGGAACAGACTCCCGCTTGGATACTTCTTCGAAGACGCCAATCTTAACCTTTTCATCTTTCGAGACAACCATATCTTGAAACACTTACTCCATTAACGTTCATAACACAAACCTCGTTAAGTAACACTCTACATCGAGTGGCTCTTGCCTTTTGGATTAGGTAAACGTTATTCAGAAAAAATGAAAATTTAAACGCTATAAGTACTTGTCTCTAATTATCTGTCAATTCAGTTCTGAAAGAAAACTTGCTGACTAAATAAATATAATTTCAGATATTGTTATATCAAAACAAGTGTATATGTGTACGTATATCTTCATGAGTGAACGTGTATGTGTGTGTGAGTGTGTTTTCATGTGAATGTTTGTTTGAGGACCAACGAAAAGGCATTGTTTTAAGTTGGTTTAACGAATTTTTCTACCATACGAACATTTTTTCTTTGGAGAATTTCAATAGAGAAATTATCCAATATCTTGGCTGACACTCAGCGAGGCATGAAGATTTAACACACAAAAAGATAAAGAAACACAATGCATACAAATACCAAACACTGCCAAAAAAGGCACTGACAAGCTCATGCATACACTTGCTCTCTCTCTCTCTTTCTCTCTCTCTCTCTCTCTCTCATCTTTTCATTAATAATGAAAGACGACAGTGCTTAGAAGACTTTAAATAATATAATTTCCACCAACTTGAATTAAGCAAAAATTGCTACGCAGATTCACTCCACACACACACACACACACACACACATATATATATATATATATATTTATCCACATAGACGCAATCACTCAGTGACGAGAGGATGCAAAATGTTTGTCAACCAAGAAGGATTTAATTGCTGATAAACTTTAATGATGAAACTTTTGATCAGATTTTGTGAAATCATTCGACCGGAAAGCTTTCCAGTAAGACATACATATCTCTCTCTTTCTCTCCCCCTCTCTCTCTCTCTCTGTATATATATATATATATATATATATATATATATATATATATGTCAGTCTACTCGGATCTATCTGTCTACATATGTATCTATCTATCTATCTATCTATCTATCTATCTATCTATCTATCTATCTATCTATCTATATCATATCAGTCTGCATGGATCTATCTAATTGTCTGTCTAGCTACCTCAGTCCATTTGTATCTATCTATCTATCTATCTATCTATCTATATATATATATATATATATATATATATATATATATATATATATATATATATCTTGAATTAACCAATGACAAGATGCTAAATGTTGTTTTCTGTGTCTTCCCAAAAAGCTACATGCAATTAACAAAAAAAAAAAAAAAAAAAAAAATTAAATTAACTTCTGTAACTATATATTTAGTTATCTGGGTAAGATTTATTAAATTTCAAGTTTCATGTAATCTATCTATCTATCTATATTAATCTGTTCATATCTATCTATCTATCTATCTATCTATCTATCAATCTATCTATAATAAATATAAAAGTAGATAGTGAAGTTAAAATCAAATCCAACGTAAACAGTCTGTTTCATGTTTATACATCATCGTCAGGACAAATAGTTTACATTTACATACGATCTATCCCTTAAAACTGTATTTTATAATATATATATATATATATATATATATATATATATATATATATATATATATATATATTAAGTTAAAAGTTTTTTTTTTGTTTTTTTTTACTTTTCTATTCCGAAAATTTTTCCTTGGTTTCCGGTGTACAAATGAATAAAATTTTCTGATGTCTGAATAATTTTCGTTTTTAAAAAGCCATTATCCAAAAAAATCGTTTTATAATATTGCGAATATAATGCGATTTCCTAGACTTGTAACCATTTGTAAATTAAGGGTTAGTTGCTGAGAATCGAACTCACTTCTCAATTATAATTGTTCTAGCGAAATAGGTTAGTTAACTATTACCCCACCTCGCGGTGCTCACGCTGCTGCTCTATGCATTTTTCTTGTTATTGTATTATATCAATCTTATTTCTCACATATCGCGGTTTCACAGGCCAGATCATTTTTTTATATCTCTTCGCCACGTGCAAGGTTTGTTATATATATATTTTTTTTTTTTCTTTTCTCCATACTGTAGTTGTTAAGAGATTTATGTTTGAAAAGTGTTCCTTGTTGGGTTACGATGATTATCCGTTTAGGGCATTTGTATGTTGTGTTTTGAGTAATGCGCCACGTTGTTCACTGACAGCTAAGAAATCCTTTATGAAGTTGATGCTCCTGATTTCGTTGCCGCATCTTTGTTGCCATATTTATTACAACGTTTCGGCCCTTCAGTATCTGTCTATATTTGTGCGATGAGGTATTATGTACACTATTTAAATTATTCGGACTATTGTCCTCATATTTGTTGCCATATTTATTACAACGTTTCGGCCTTTCAGTATCTGTCTATATTTCTGAGATGACGTATTATGTACCTATTTACATTGTTCGGACTATTGTCCTCATATTTGTTGCCATATTTATTACAAGGTTTCGGCCTTTAAAGTATCTGTCTATATTTCTGAGATGACGTATTATGTACTATTTACATTGTTCGGACTATTGTCCTCATATTTGTTGCCATATTTATTACAACGTTTCGGCCTTTCAGTATCTGTCTATATTTCTGAGATGACGTATTATATTTACATTATTGTCCTCATATTTGTTGCCATATTCGGACAACGTTTCGTCCTTTCAGTATCTGTCTATTTTCTGAGATGACGTATTATGTACACTATTTACATTGTTCGGACTATTGTCCTCATATTTGTTGCCATATTTATTACAACGTTTCGGCCTTTCAGTATCTGTCTATATTTCTGAGATGACGTATTATGTACACTATTTACATTGTTCGGACTATTGTCCTCATATTTGTTGCCATATTTATTACAACGTTTCGTCCTTTCAGTATCTGTCTATATTTCTGAGATGACGTATTATGTACACTATTTACATTGTTCGGACTATTGGCCTCATCTTTGACGCCATATTTATTACAACGTTTCGGCCTTTCAGTATCTGTCTATATTTCTGAGATGACGTATTATGTACACTATTTACATTGTTCGGACTATTGTCCTCATATTTGTTGCCATATTTATTACAACGTTTCGTCCTTTCAGTATCTGTCTATATTTCTGAGATGACGTATTATGTACACTATTTACATTGTTCGGACTATTGTCCTCATATTTGCCTATTTATTACATTTCTTTTCAGTATCTGTCCATGACGTTTATTACTATTGTTTTTGACCCCGTTTCCCCGTTGTACGCTCCGGCCATCTTCAGGAGCTCTTCGTTTCGCTCAGTTATCAGTTATTTCCTGTTAAATTCCCTTGAGGGCACATGGCACATTGGATAAATGCGTTAGTTAGAACCGAGTGACAGGACCCAGAGAGTGCGAGTTCAATACCTGGTTAAGGCGGTGTTGAACAAACACAGATGCGCATCCGTCTGCAATAGAGATTGGCTAGCCGCCATAGTAAACGGATTTCCTCGAATAAGTGTAACCTGCTCTTATGTATGTATTTATGTATGTATGTATATATGTATGTATGAATGGATGGATAAAAAACAAATATTTTTTTTATCGTGTTTCCATTGTTTATCTGTCGTCTGCCTCTATTCATTCTTAATCCTATCGCCGCCATTTTATTGACGTCATGTTTTAAGCGCCTTTAATTAGTGCACTCTTTTTATGTAAATGCAATTGTGGACTTTGGACAGATGAAGCGCAAGTCAATGGGTTGGTCATTCAGTGGCGTTATCATTTAATTCACAATGTCACCATTATCGATGGTAGTCACTGCCGCCTTCATCTTTCAACATCCGATGGGCTGGCAATAGAAGTGAAGAGAGCGGGACACGGCAAGAGAAACGATTGATTCCCTTGTCAATTCGAACAAAATACGTTGAGTCAAAAACAAAATAAACCGTTGTTCACTCTTTCCTCAGCGTTCTCATTTTCTCTCTTTCTATTTTATTTTACTATTTTTTATTTTATTACTTTCTTTCTCTTTCATTCTTTATATTTCTTTCTTTTTTTTCTTTCATTCTTTATATTTCTTTCTTTCTCTTTCATTTTTATATTTCTTTCTTTCTTTTCTTTCATTCTTTATATTTCTTTTCTTTCTCTTTCATTTTTATATTTCTTTTTTCTTTCTTTTCATTCTTTATATTTTTCTTTCTCTTTCATTTTTTATATTTTCTTTTTTCTTTTCTTCTTTCATTCTTTATATTTCTTTCTTTCTCTTTCATTTTTATATTTCTTTCTTTCTTTTTCTTTCATTCTTTATATTTCTTTCTTTCTCTTTCACTTTTATGTTTCTTTCTTTCTTTCTCTTTCATTCTTTATATTTCTTTCTTTCTCTTTCATTCTTTATATTTCTTTCTTTCTCTTTCATTTTTATATTTCTTTCTTTCTTTCTCTTTCATTCTTTATATTTCTTTCTTTCTCTTTCATTTTTTATATTTCTTTCTTTTCTTTTCTTTAATTTTTTTATTTCTTTCTTTCTCTTTCATTTTTTTTATTTCTTTCTTTTTCTCTTTCATTTTTTATATTTCTTTCTTTCTTTCTCTTTCATTCTTTATATTTCTTTCTTTCTTTTTCTTTCATTCTTTATATTTCTTTCTTTCTCTTTCATTTTTATATTTCTTTCTTTCTTTCTCTTTCATTCTTTATATTTCTTTCTTTCTCTTTCATTTTTATATTTCTTTCTTTCTTTCTCTTTCATTTTTATATTTCTTTCTTTCTTTTTTATTCTTTATATTTCTTTCATTTTTCTTTCTTTTCTTTTCTTTTTCTTTTCTTTCTTTCTCTTTCATTTTTTATTTTTTTCTTTCTTTCTCTTTCATTTTATATTTCTTTCTTTCTTTTCATTCTTTATATTTCTTTCTTTCTCTTTCATTTTTATATTTCTTTCTCTTTCATTTTTATATTTCTTTCTTTCTTTCTCTTTCATTTTTATATTTCTTTCTTTCTTTCTCTTTCATTCTTTATATTTCTTTCTCTTTCATTTTTATATTTCTTTTTTCTTTTTCTTTCATTCGTTATATTTCTTTCTTTCTCTTCAATTTTTATATTTCTTTATTTCTTTCTCTTTCATTTTTATATTTCTTTCTTTCTTTTTCAAATTTTATATATCTTTCTTTCTTGTTTTCATTCTCTATATTTCTTTCTTATTTCACTTTCATTCTTTACATTTCTTTCTTTCTCTTTCATTATTTCTCTCTTTCCTTTGGTTTATGTTTTCTTTCCTTTATTTCAAATATCAGATTATTTCTTTCTTCCTTTCTTTTCTTTTCTTTTCTCTTTCTTTCTTTCTTTTTATTTCATTCGTTTCATTTCTTTCTCTTTCTTAGGGACTACGCTTTTTCATATTTCTTTTTCTTATATATTCCTTATATTTTTTTATTTATTTCTATCGTTCTTTCTTCCTTTTTGGCCTTCATTCTTTTTTCTTTTTCTTCTTCCATTTGTCATTGATTTTTCTTTCCTACTTACACCCTCTTTTCTTTACAAATTTATTTATTTCTTCTTCATCTTCTTCGCTTCTTCATTGCTTCATTTTCACCTTCTTTTCTTTTTCATCGTCGATTTCAAATTCGTTCTCTTTTCTTACGCAGTCTAACATTTACCGTCCTTTTCTTATGTCATTCTTATTTTAATTCTCATATCAGCTTTCTTTTTTGGTTTACGGCCACATCACGTTGAAACTTCCGTTACCGTACGATCATCAAAGTTAAGCAACGTCACTACCTAGATGAGTAACTGTTTTGGAAAACCACCTGCTCTAAGCTTGGATGTGCGTGTGGTTTAATGGATAATGCCTCGGAATTATTAATTGGAGAACCGAGTTCAGATTTCGGTTGGATCCGTTTTACTCTTGGGGGCGTATATTAACCCGCCACTTCTCCCCTCGCTATGGGTTAATTAGTGGAAATTTGAAAATCATTACTATCTTAAAAGCAACTCTTACAATGTAATAATATTTTCTGGCTTTAAATAATATTGCACAGTGTTGATAAGCCGTAAAAAACAAACAATCAATCAATTGTTGTATTTTTCAGATTAATTTAATATAGACACTACAACCATCAACACATTATACATAACTCTCCTCAGTGCCTTTGCTTTTTCTTTCATTATTTGATATGATATTCTTCATCTTTACTCATTCGTTCTTCTTCGCCTTTAGTTTTTCTTCATCTTCTTGGAGAATAATAAAGATATTCCCCGTGTATAATACGTATTGATCCATAATACGCACCCCTAAAATTAAGATGAAAGTAGGGGGAATACTTACAAATGTAAAATAAAATAAGACTTATCATAAAACTTAATTAGAATAATATTATTCTATGTTTAAAACCATTTTTAAGAATAGGAAACGCTGGCCGTAATGAAATTGCACAGGTGCAATTTATAGGGTTTGATTAAGAAACAAGGAGTGCGTATTATGCGCGAGTTGAAAGCATTTATTTGACACTTGCTATTTTCTATATCCATAACAATAAAGTCAGGTTTGCGTCAATGATATGTTCAGTCTTATTATTATCAATATTATTATCATTATTACAATAATTATCATTAATATCATCGACTTTATTGTTATGGATATTGAAAATAGCAAGTGTCAAATTATTGAATTTACTGTTCTAAATGATAGAATATTGGACTCTTTTGAACAGGACATTTTGAAAAATGCCAGATTTTGATCAAGGAACTGAAGAAGCTATAGAACAAGATTGTTGAATTAATTCCTGTAGTGACACAGGCCCTTGGAACACAGGCTAGAAAATTAAAGGGGCCTTGGAGAGAATTAGATTTACTAGACATTTGGCACGGACGCCCCGTAGATCCTGGGTTAACACTACCCTTGCCGGTACCGTTATCGGTTAACTGGTTTTTGGTCGCTGGCCGTTTCGATCTACACCGTTAATGTTATGTTCTTTAGTCTCAGTGCAATGAATTCCGAATGTCGTCAGTCATTCGGAGCGTTGGTTCGGGCCACGGCGATGCTGTATTTTGAAATAAATAAAAATGTTCTCGTAGACGAAATAAAAAACGGAAGATACGTTTCGTTGTGTTTAAATTTGTTTATATTGTTCTTGGTACACAAACAACCCTTCCCTTTTTTAAATTTATATAGTGACTATCTGCTCTTCTAAATCTTGGAACGGGGTTCAAAGCCAGGTCACACGAGGTTTGGTAGTAACTCGTCCGCCCTTCGGGTATTTCTGTAAATCTCTGCCTGTTTCACCTACGCGGTCAACTTATATTGATTCCGGCCCAAGATTGACGTGGGTTCAACTGGTTTGGGGTTTCGGTAATTCCCTAATTTTCGGATTTAGTTGCACATATTGCCCCACCTTTATAATTCATATTTTCTCTTATTTATGCTTCGCACCATTACTTCCAAATGTGCGGAGGTAAATTTTCAACTTTTCTTTTCCTCTGCCAGTATTCCATTTGAGACCATTTCCACAATGAGGGTTTGACTGTCTTTTTGACAGTTCTAATTTTACCCGAGTAATCGAAGGGGTCGTCTCATTTTAATCATTGAGTATGCATAACAAATATTATTTCGAACACTTTGGTCTGGTTTGTTCTACTGAACCCATAACTTCTTTCCACGGTTCACAGGTTATCATGCAGACAACCCTTCCATGTTGTTTTCCATTTCAATTTCACTTTCGGGTGACAGATTATGTCTGCTCTCCCGCTTTGTTTATATTACCACAATTATATTTTAGATGGCCCTTTTAACCTGGCCTGCCAATCGTATCTTTCTTTTTTGTTGACAGCCATAAAACAAATATTATTTCCCGATTCTCTTTTTTAATTCCGAGGCTTAGAAAATAACCCGGAGATTTCAGCTCACATTTCTACATTAACCCCTTTAATTCCACCAGTGTCAGAAGGTATAACTGGCATCATTCAATCTGCAAGTTCTTGAATTGAGAGGAGTCTTGTTGACACACTGCATCAAGACGTCAATGTGCAACCCTAACAGAATAATCTCAGGTAAATTTTAAAAACGGTCTGCGACAGTTTGACCATAACTAACATTGGTTTCCTGGGTGAATCATTTGTATAATTCCTAGACAATCGCCGTTCATACCCAGACTTTTTGTTTGGAATCATTTCGATATAATTTGGGACTTCCTCTAAGGATAAGATTAACGGTTTAAATTAAGGAATATTAATGTTTAGGGATTAACTAAGAAGATGAACGGTTTAAACATTAAATGGAATTAAATAGATGGGACAAATCAAGACTCTGTGGGTCAAAATGTGTGTACATTTTAGAGGACACCCAAAATACATAGCCTAGTATTATACACAGTTACAGGTATCTACTCAACGTCTACGAAAATATCACCCACAGATGAAGTAAAGATATATCTGTTTGCCTGCAACTGATTCAGCCATGTAATATATATCAAATATATGTCATTTATGAGAAAATGCAATGCTAATAATTCAGGTTATAAACAGCTCGGCTTCGTGCAATTTCAAGGGCGAATTTTGGATAGAGAAATGAGATTTAGTCAGCTTGTTCAGTGGGACGGTGGCGATATCAATGCAATAGGATGATCAATTTTCCCGAACAAAATTTCTTGTCACGTAAGTAATTATCTGTTAGTGACCAGAGGAAAGCTAATATGAGTAGATCTCTATTTTTTTTTTTTTAAACAGACATATATGCTTTAGATTAGGAATGAGGGAAAGAGCCTAAAAGCGAATAACCGACAGGATGAACATGTGTAAATAGTTGGCAGAACAGGAACTAGCACTGTAAGCAAAAAGACATTACATAAAGCTACAAAAGTCAGGACGTTGTGGAGAGCCATGATATAAACGCCCTGGAGTGACGCGGCGGGTAGAAGTAAAAGAACGTTCGCTTTTCACTTAACGTGGTTTGTACAAATGGTGATGAGGGAAAACACATTATTCCGTCCCGTTTTAAAGATCCCCAGCATTAAAATTTGAAGTATCCATTGCCTGAATTGATAATGTAAACTAGACATCAACTTAAGATATGGGTTAATTAGTAAGACTTGTTGAAATTGATATACTTAAAAACCAAAAAAAAAAAAACCAAAAAAACAATCAACTAAGAATCACTCCATATTCGTAATCACCATTAGACTCACCCAACTCTTTCAGATCCCTCTGAACTGTCGTCAGATTGACACTCAATCACTCTGAAATGTTCGCATTGCATCTGCCGGCTAGAATTCCATGCAGAACACCATGCTGTTTCCAATTTTCTGGCGGAATGAATTGCGTCACGGTGCTCTTTTTCTCGTGTATGATGCACAAATGACCCTACTATAATATGCAGTCGACAAAATAAAAAAAAGCAACGTGTATTCACGAAATTAAAAATATAAAAGGGTCACAATTTACCCAACGCACGCTATATATATGTGTGTGTGTGTGTGTATTTAGGCAGCAATCTTTCTTTCATGCACATTTCATTGAATACGACAGACAAGGTGCTTTTATTTAGTTTTTTTATACAATTTCTCATGCGAACTAATAATCTTTTTCTTCTCGGATGATAAATTATATAAAAACTGTCCGAATTTTCTTTTTATCCGAGCGCTTTCGGCTATACATTTAGCTTTTTTCAAGGATTATATTTTAACTGTTAAAATAAGAAATAGTTTGTTGTATGTATGTTTTATAAAATGTTTTCATTTTTCAAAACAGAGTCAAGATATTATGTCCATGTTCAAAATTAATATTATTAAGTGTTGTTTGTTTTTATTAATAAGGCTTTCATTATTTTTAGCTTTTTTGCATGTAGATGATGCTATTATATGAGGGTTGTCAACAAGTATATTACGAATAGTGTCCGCTAAGTCTCTATGAATATTTAAATGAGATGTAATTGAGCTATTGCCAGAAAGGTGTAAAGTGAGTCTGCGTGTCATACATGTTGTAGTGTGGCCTATATAATTATTTAGGAATATTGATTGATCAGGAATACAATTTCTTAATGGGCATTTAAATTCGTAAATAATATTTGCCCTATTTAATTTTGTTCTAGGGGGTGAATTATTATTTTTAGCTATTAGGTTAGAGGTTTTAAATTTTTTGTAATAAATAATTGATCTAATTTTTTTTGCTATTGACAACTGGTGTTATGCATTTTTTAATAATGTTCTTAATTCTGCATTCATCCTGTTTATAATTTTCTTTCATTGGATTTTTATAAAAAAATATTAATATCATTGTTTATGTTTCTATTCATCGCCCGAGGAAACACATTTGTAGTGTTGAAACATGACTGTCATTATGTAGCGATTATTAACAGGTTTTAATATCCTAAAATATATAATATTTGGCT